CCTGACAATGAAATGAAGCAGGCTTGTCCAAAGCGAATATTGTGTCTGGGGACTTGGTGCCCGACGAGGTGGAACAGCATGTATTTTTTGATTAAGAGGGCGGTTTTGTTGGAGAGAAGCATCCGCGAGTATACAGCAAGCGCGAGAATTCCTAGGATCATTATACCAGCAGCTGGGTGGTGCATGTTCAAACAAGTGCTGCCAGTCTTGGAGTCCATAAGGGAGTTGTCTGAGCGATGTGAGGGGGACGAGTATATTACCATATCGGATGTCCTCTATAATATTTTGAAGTTGCTGTACGACCGGCTGTATGTCAGTGACACCGATGCACATGCAAAACCTGTGTTGCTTGAATTCACCTCTGAGTTCACAAGAAAACTGTGTGCGGATTGTGATAATGTCAACCTAATATACAACTGGGCACTAGCGGCGGCTGTGGATGGAAGGAAGAATACATTGCACTGGATGAGGAGGATCTGGAACAACGCTGATGATTGGCCAAATTTGGTGGAAGAATATGACACCCTGGCAAAGTTCCAAGCGATGTTGAAGAAAGAGATGACGGCATTGGTGAGTTCAGTTCTGATTTGTGGCCTTTGCCTTTGTAAATGTGTGCATCCAACCGTGGATAGTTTTGGCCGGTACCAAGTGTCCTTTGTGCCTTTGCATGCACGACTGTGCCTTTTGTGTATTTCGCCCTAAACGGCCGTCTCCTGGGATCACTTGGCTGCATGGGGTGCCTGTTGTTATATCTTGCTTGTGTGACTAACAGCGTGCATATGACTTCTGCAGTTGAGGCACATGGTGAAGGCGCCCGAAGTCCATTCCTCGGGCTCATCATCCGAAGAGGATGCAGCACAGGCTGTGCAGCAGAGTTGGCTAGACGCGGCATCACCCCCACCTAAGGGACCACTACGTTTCCGACCATCAAGATGGAGAAGACGGGCCCCATGCTCCCCACTGCACATGGACCCAGTGGAGGCCGAAGTCGAAAGGTGGTTTGATTTAAAATGGACACCAGCATGTGAATATCAAAAAAAATGGAGTGCTGGGGATTGGTGGGGCGAGAATCACACCAGCTTCCCCTTGGTGGCCAGGCTTGCACGTCGAATATTAGCAACACAGTTGAGTGGGTGAGTACAACTGGCTGTGCATATATACCAAAGTGCCCTTATGTGAAATATGGAGTTGAAAGAAAGGAAAGTACTGAATATCTTTGGTTGTGTTGCAGGTTTCCAATGCCAGCAGTGAATGCTCATTTTCCAAGTTTGGTTTTATTGTGATGCCAACTAGCTATGCATATATACCACAGTGCCCTTGTGAAGTTCACAGGCTGAGAAGTACTGAGTATTTTGGGTTGTGTTGCAGGCCTCCAGCGCTAGTAGTGAACGCTCATTTTCGAAGGCTGGTCTCATTGTGACAGCCAAGCGCATGCTTCTCAAGCCCGAGAACGTGGATCATTTGAGCTTGCTAGGGTGGCAGATGGTAGAGAGTGGATGGTCGCAGTAGAAGCTAGCGCATTGACGCAAGAAGGGGGGGAAGGGGGGGAAGGGAGGGAAGGGAGGGAAGGGAGGGAAGGGGGGGAAGGGAGGGAAGGGAGGGAAGGGAGGGAAGGGAGGGAAGGGAGGGAAGGGAGGGAAGGGAGGGAAGGGAGGGAAGGGAGGGAAGGGAGGACTTTGGATTCCAAAGTTTGGATCACCACCGGTGACCACCCTCGTTGCCCCGGCGTGGAAACTGTGGAGTATCGCCGCAGCGAGGGTGCGGTACTATAGAGATAAAAGATAAGATATTATGACTTGTAATATTCCGTTGTCCTATGTTGAAGTGCACACCTTGAACACACTACGTTGGAGTGGTGGATGAACTTTGGGTATCATATAGATAGAAGATAAAATTATTCAAGAGATGCGTCCCAACAAGTACTGCGATTGGTGGATAGACTTTACAGTCGCTGCCCTGGTGTGGAAATTTCTGGAGTACCGCCGCAGCGAGGGTGCGATAGGCAGAGATGGAAGATAACAAATCACGACTCGTATTATTCGTTGCCCGTTTTCATGTATGTTGAACTGTTGAACTTTGACGTACTATGTTGGAATGGTGGATGAACCTAGGGTATCATATAGATAGAAGAGAATTTCTGTGAGAAATGTGTCCAATCGCTAACTGCAATTGGTGGATGGGCTTTACACTCGCTGCCCTGGCATGGAAACTGTGGAGTACCGCCGCAGTAACCCATCGCAATTCGAGTTGCTGCAAAATGGAAACCCCTTGGCAACTTCGCCTCGACCTTGCCGTGGCTGGAAAGCAAGTACCTATGGGTAATAACGAACCAAAATTATTAATCAACGGATATTTTGTTGCGGACCGGACGCCGCACACATCATCTGTTAATTTAACGGCAAATAACGGTGAAGAAAAAGTGAGAGCCGGATTCTGCGGACGGCAGTATGGCAAATAGCAAACCGGATATTACCGGACGAATATCACACTCAGTTTTACGGACCGGACTTAACGGACCAGACGGCACCCGAGTGTGGCCACCTCTATTGTATATACATATGTTTAAGAGGTGACAAAAGGAAGACTAATTTTGAACAGAAAAGAAACGCAACATAAAATTGGCATCGCTCTCTTTAGCATCAAACATGAGATACTCTTGTCTATGCTCAATAGCATATATGTCGGCGCGGTCCCCCCTTGGTTGCGTTCAGGTACCCTGGCCCACGCTCTAGGGCCTCTCCGGTGGAAGCGTGGTCGTCCTCGGCTGGACGGCATGTCCCGGGCTCTCTCTGGCCTATGGGTGACGGCCGCTCTGTGCGGTCCCGTCTGAGGCGCGTGGCAGCTACACTCGAGGAGGCAAGGAGGCAGTGTGTTCCAGAACGATCGAACTACAATCGGCGCCGCTGCCAGGCGCTCTTACATGTGGCGGCCAAAATCATCAAAGTCATCATTTTCATTAAAAAAATCCATTTTGGCCAAACCCATTTTCCGGGCTAAAACCTCGCTACGCTCGGCCTGCTTTTCAGGCCGCTTCACTCCGCATACGGCCTCCACGACTTTGGCGACGGGCCGAGCTCTGCTCGGCAAGGCAAGAAGCCAACGGGTTGCTAACCACATTACCACAATATAATTCATCGGTCTCCAAATACAGTCAACCTGTGTTGCACTTGTCAAGCGCAATGCAGAGACAGCACGCAACACACAAGCCCTATCACACAAACTTTAACAATGCTCAAATACTATTGTTGTGCTCTGGAGACAATATTTTATCATGCCAATTGAGGCGGTCTTCTTCTTTTGGGATCAGTAGGCTTGCCGCTTTTTGTGACAATGGCACTCGATACCCATGCTTACAACCAGCGAGCAAATCCAAGCTCGGGAATTGGATACATCAACCAAGAAATTCCAACATGTATGGCAGTGCGTAGTAGAGGTGGCCACTCAAAGATGCCATCCGGTCCGTTAAGTCCGGTTCGTTAATTTTTATCAGCTGTCCGTTAAATTCCGTTAAAGAAAAAGGGAGAAAAATTCAGAAAAAACGAAAAAAATCAAAAAAATCGTAAAAAAACCCAAAAAATCACAACAACTGCGGCTAGTTGAAAATCTAGTATGCATAGGTTGAAATAAAATACAAACATACTCTATAATAGCGAATTCCATAAACTATAAGTATGAATAAAACCCAAAAATCCCCCAAAAATCCAAAAATCCGTTAATTTTTGGTTAATTTTTGTCTTTTTTCAGTATTTTCCGTTAATTAACGGAAAATTAACGGAAATTAACCTCTGTCCGCTATTAACGGATCCGGGTGGCCACCTCTAGTGCGTAGTGGCCATGGCTATGTAGCCATGTGGTCATTGAGGCCCGGTTTGGATGTGCGACAACAACCAATATTACTAACGATGTGCTATATTGCTTATGGAAGATGGAAGACTTGTCGCACTTACTACGTCTCTGCTCGATTCCTCGCTCCACTGCCATGCAACCACTCCTTTACACAGCGGTGCAATAGTACTTGTTTGAACCGGCACTTTGATCCCTCATTATACCCACCGCTAATCATAACCCAGCTATTGTTAATTGGAGCTTCCACCCCCAAGGTCAATTTTACTTTCGTCCGGACGAAAGTAGAATTGACCTAGGGAGTGGAAATTCCATTTTGGATATCCAAAGCTTTTTGCTCTCACCCTGGCATGCTGTTGACCAAGCATTTCTGAAAACTTGCCCAGTCCTCACAGTTCTGGCCCGTGCTCGAACCGTGATCAATTGCTGACATCCAGCAGTACATTGCCAGGCGGTTAAACAGGGCCGAATCTTGCCATTGCAGCCACGAGTCATCAAACCTGAAAGCATCACCATCGTTATGACGAAAACCGGGCTCCTCGCACATGGTTGCTCCCTGGCACGGGAAGCAAGACCGCAACCAGATGCATTGTGGGATGAATGTGCCAGAAAAATAAGCTTCAATGCAAGCATATTCATTTCCCGTCTCTGTTGTCCCCTTATACATGTCATCATAACACCATATTCACCGTATCTATTTTCACCCTGAAACACCACATCATCGCTTGATAACTTCTTCCTCGTCTTCGCAGTCATCATTCATTTTGCATCAAGGTAATATTGCTCATTTCAAAGCCTCATTAATGAGGTAGCCATCAGCTTCCCCTTTTGCTTCATTAAGGCTTTGTTTTAACCTGAGTGCACGAAAGCAAAATTCGCAACGGGCATTCATTTTTACGGATTCACGACCCCAATTGCCGGAGCGCGCGACTGCAGGCGCGCAACAGCGAAAGCTCCCAAAGTACGACTTGCGCTGCGCCCCCCTCAGCCGCGATCCCCCTTCCCTTCAACCCGACGCACGGCCTCGCGATTCGCAGAGGCGGGCAGCCCCGCTCCTCACCCGTCGCTCCAATCCGGATCAGCTCATACAGCCTGCCGCGAGAGGGCCCGAGTCCCACATAATCATTTTAAACCGTCCATCTGGGCTGCCCTCGGCAATGGAAGGTCCCTGCCTGGGCGACCGGATTGCCTTGGAGACGTGGGCCAGCAAGGTGGGGGCCGGGCGGGGGGATCGACGGATGTGCCTCGAGAAGTCAGTCCCCGCCAGGAGCCGAATGCTCTGGTCTCATCTCCCTGTGCAGGTCTTCATAGCGCCATTTTTGTCTTTGTGCAGAAAATGTGGTCTTTTTCGAGCAGTTTGGTCTTGGGTATTTGGGTGCACAGACTGCTGAAGGGGCATCCTTCAAAGCAAGAGGAACGCAGAACTGATTGGATGACGTGGCTCTCGGGTGTCTGCAGATCGCCGTGCGGCTCAGCCTCTCCTCAGGCGAGGTGTCGTGCCCGGAAGCGCCGCTCCCACTCCACGTAGGTGCCGCATGGCCGCCAATCGCAGCCGGCGCTGGTGGGGGTTCGGCCATATGGTCGTTTGGGGGTCGATGCGTAGGAGTGCATTTGCCAAAGTTGGCAATTGCGCTAACCATATGCGACTGCAAGGGATTGGATGAGAGAACGGGATTTGGGCTCTGGATAAAGGCCGCTATGTCCACCATTTTATTCTCAGGAAAAGCCAGCATGTTGGGCCTAAGAGGAGTGATGGGCAGTTGCATATCATGAATGTTGTTGGTTGACGGTTTTGCTCATACATCTGCTCACCACCCATTGGGAAACGGGTGTGTTGCATTCTCCATGCTGCCGGTGAATGCTGCATGTTCTTGATTACCATGCATTGCTGTGTGATTCTGCCATGGCACTGAGAAAGCCTCTCTCACTTCAATGATTGGAAGGCTTGTCAGTCGATGCTGAGGATAGGTGCCCTATAATTTTCCAGTATCTGTGACTACGGATGGGTTGTTCTGGGCCATCTTTCGAGATTTATGTCTAGCGTTACAGGGAATGTTGCACAGCAGAACTTACATCACTGATAACCAGTTTTGGTTTCTGTTAACTTGGCTAGGTCCTGGCTCCTAGGTTTGGGTATCTGCACCTGTTCGCCCGGCAGGCCTTCGACTTTTTTGAGGTGCGCCCACAAGCCATCCTGCACAACCTCATGACAAAGCACTGTTCCTGCACGCACAAAGATTGTGGGTACAATCCATGCACAGTCCTTTGCACCTTGGACGCGATGTGTGACCACAGTGTTGACATGACACAAGACATGTAGGAAGGCCAGAACCCTTGAACCCTCATTGTCAAAACGCGGCAGGCAAATGTCTTGCCAATCGAGGCTGTGCAACCCTGGTCATATATCCTGCTGGCACTTGCCGCTGCACTGGTACCAATCACACATGCAGGCAACATGGCGATGTCCCATGTTGCCAACTAGTGGGCAGTTTGACGCCCCCCAACAGCACAGCTTGTGCCACCACACACTAAGTGTTAAAGATCGTTACAGAAAGAATGCGTCCTATGGGAAATAGAATGAGCTGATTGTTTGAGCTGGGAGGTATGTGCCAATCCCTGTGCCTTTCCGTTGCAGAGGTTTATGATAAGCCAGCAGCGGTACACGCCCTACTTTGCCTACAAAGGTCTGCCACTGCCCTGGTGAGTGGCTCACACTCATTTGTTGTCTGCCAGAACTTTGCTGTAATGGAAGCACAGTGTTTGGTTCGCTGTTTCCTTGTCAAAATATCACTTTGAATTGGTTGTACAATGGCCGCGCATGCACACTAAAATGACTTGCCACAATACTGTGGACAGAATGGCCTGCATAGCCTGAATCGCACTGGCATATTTGTTATCAACTCACAACACAAAACGATGCATACATTACAGTGTAGCTTGTAACTTACTGCACATATCCAATTCTGTGGCCAACGTTGAATTACTTGCAAGCTGCAGGCTGCAGGTATTTCACGCCAGCTTGGTGCCTATTTTTTACAGCAAAACCCTTGTTCCTGCGCATGCATGTCAACTTTCTTTTTGGGACGGTGCTTGTCGTCTGCATGACAGCTGTTTGCTATTTCAGGCACATTCCAGCAGGTGTCCTGTATGACCTCCTTGCAGATGGGGAACAACCCTGGGATATCATGGTGAGTGCCAACATTGTTGTACAGACTCAGGACATTGGCAAAGTAACCATCAAACAATGGTCATAACCAGTAATTGTAGCAAGAACAGAAGTTATGCTTTGATGGTTGTCCCCAATGCACACCATGGTTCAGATGCTGATGTGGCTGCCATCAGCAAGACAGCTTTGGGGAACATTCTGAAGAGCCCAACAAACATATGATTGTGAAGGACAATGGCCTGTTCTTCATATTCCAGAGTAATGCATCGCAAGTGTTTTGGATTCCAGAATAAAAGAATGGTGGCATGGTTAGGGTATCGCAAGCTAATCCACCATCAAAGTCAGAGTCCCCTAGTGACTGAGCTGCTTTGCCTGAAAGAGCATGCTTAATGCATTTTTCTGAAGTAGACTTCAGTTGCCTCCAAGACAGCATGGAACAGCTAATGTCATCCTTGTCGTTCAGCATCCACACTCTCAAACCCGACTGGCATACTACCAACTCGGACAGAGACGGATGTGGATCATTCTGGGAGATGCATTTTATGCTGTCCTGTCATTCTCAATGCATGCATGGCTGCTGATCTTTGTTATCCCCAAGAAAACGGGGCATCTCTGGCACCCCCTCAAGAAGGACAATCCTCCAGCTGTCAAAGACAGGGGCACAAACAGTAGCTGACCTGTGGGCTTATGGATGGGATGTGGGAAGCACTGGAAGTGCGTATGTATGACATGAATTAACAGACAATCTTGAGGTCCAGTGCGATCAGGTACTGCCAGCTTTTTTGGCCAGGATGTCACTTGATGGATTTGTGTCCATTGATTGATGGCAACAGAAAACAGTTCCCAGGTATCCAGCAGGCTCCGTTGTTGTGCGCATATGGTCTTCACCTGAACAATCTGTAAATATCCATTTGTTCCAGCCACACCTGTACATCCCCATAGCTGTGCTTGCTTTAAACCATGCCCCAAACCTACCACTTGCACCCACACGTTGAAGATAGGGCATCTGGCCTTTGTATCCATATCGTACTTCCCTTTCCTCTTCATTGCTAAGTGGGGCAACTCATTCAGGTACACTTCCCAACCTCACTTCCCACAACGCTGCTGCCATGGAATGATGAGGAGGACTTCAAGCTGAGTCCATTGAGGGATGTATTTTTTGGCAGTCTCAAGGTAAATGTGATGCTTCTGACTTGATCGCATTGGTTCCCTCAACGTGATATTGTACCCACAAGAGTATGGCAAGTACTCCTGGAATCTCTGTCGTTTGTCTGCCAGAATGTGTGTTGTTTACTAACAGAGCCTTTGTTGCACAGATTGCTTTGTTTGATACATGGATCAGTAGTGATGCATTGCGCAACTTTGTTTTATGTCTTCAACGTGGAATGTAAGAAAGCCAATTCGGGTCAGACTCATTATGGGGAAGGGGAGGTTGGTGCCTTCTGTGCTCTGTCTCGTTTCACACACCGTTGGTTCCTGCTGAAATTGCAGTTACTTCCTGAAAACCTGTGTCAATTGCAAGCCATGGTTTTGGCACCATTTACGTAACCAGTTGTCCCGCTGTCTGGCTTACTGGATACTGTTGGCTGGATGGATTCCACATTTTGGGTTTGTCGCAGAATGCTCCCTGCCACCATGCTATTGAATTGGCAGTGTTGGGCAGACATCTGCAATGGACACAGAATGAGTTTCGTCATGATTACGGTGATCCTTGTTGACAATGTGAACAGTCCCCCTAGAAAGTAACTGAACAATGTGTTTCAGCTCTCCCATGAATACATATTTCCAGTCGATTCTACATTACTCTTTGCTGCCACAACTGATTTCACAGTGCCACTGTGCACCAGGCTGCTTGTTAACAATGTGGCACGTGCCCCAAGCACTCCGTTTGTATACCAGTAAGGAGAGACACTATTTGATTTTGGTACGCTCAAAGTCAAACTGACGTTAAGGGGTGGGTGGCGTGGGTCAAGTCACTGACACTAAGAGATGATATAATTGCACCAAAATCAAAAGAAGGTGGGAAGATGCACAATAACGCCACTGATCAGTGGCAAATAGCTCATAGCTTGTTGCAAAACCTCCTCAAACTTTCAATCATCCAGGTATTCCTTAGAATGGATCTATTTTCAGGCTTTTTGGGCTGCTTTCAGTGCCTAGTGTCGCTTCTGGCATCCTATTTTTTAAATCACCGCAATCGCTACAATTTTGCCTATTTCCCCGCCTTGAAACTGTATTGAAGCTGTATGCCATTGCTAGGTAATGTTGCTGAGTCATCCTGGCAAAAAAAGGATTGACGTTGAGGAAGGGTGTGTGTCTGAGCTTCACGTCAATTCCGCGCTAAGTGTACGAAATTTAAATAGTGTCTTCCCTGAGTAAGAAACGGCGAGATGCATGACTCGCCTGTTGTTCCAAATTGAATGCAGCGCATTTCAGTGCTATTTGGGCTCGTATATGGCAGGGTACAGCCAGTTCAAGGTGAGCATCTGTTCTGCATGGACCTTGCTTCTTGCATTTCATTTTCAGGCTTTTGTTGTTGGTTCTCTGTTTGATCGACATATCTTCCTTGGGGTCTGCACAGGAGGCCGCATTCATTTGCCAGGGAACATCCAATGCTGTGAATATGATGGACATCTCCAACAGAGACAGCCTCTGGCAGAGTGTGAAGTCCACAGACTGGGAGGGGTACAAGAGCTCTACGAGCTCCATTAGCCTCGATCCTGTGCCAGTGAGTATGTTGTTGTCGTCAGCCAGATTGGATGGAGTTTCAGGGCTAAGAAAACTTTTGTCCACTGCCCTGTCCTATGCATTCTCCATTTTTTCCGCATCCAGTATTCGCACCCCCTGAATTCTCTGTGTGTGCTGTGTGTTGGTTCCCGCAGTCGCAGAAAAACTGCAGCCCCCCAAAGATTCCCACCCGGGTGTATCTCAGAACAGGTGCGGGGAACTGTCTACATCCATGCAAGGAGCATGGAATGACCGTTGTTCATGTCTGTGTTGAGCTTTCTGCTTGCTCGGTCTGTAGCTTGCCAGAGCTGGCAAAAGGCCTGTTCAAGGGGTGAATGTCAGTTATTTGCAACCCGATGTTCTGCCGTAAAGCGCAGGGAGACTGCGCAGTCCAGCAGTGCTCAACCTTGTTTTGGAGGCGAATGGGGCACACAAATTCTGCAACATCGCCTGATTGGCTGTGATGAATGCAACAGAATTCTAGCAGTAGGATGGCCATTCAGGAGGGTCTATACTCTGGTTCAATGCAGTTGGAAAGGCATGTGGTGGAGGGCGAGCCATGTCCCATTGCCACTGGCACCATCCAGCCAAGAATGGCCACCGTTTCAACCTTGCTGCTGTGTTCCCAAACTGCACAGGGGCTGCACGGCTGGAATGGCGCGAGATGGTGAAGAGTACGTCAAGACCTGTTCCTGGAAAGCACGAATCAGAGCCGCCCACCTTCCCAACCCTGCTGGAGACACTGAAGGACGTGCTGCCTTCGATCCCGTGGTACCTGGTTAGCAACTGCAGCATCCCTGCAGGCAGCGTACCACCAGGTGAACCGGCTAGGACGGCGGCAGATTCCACTGGGGCAAGTGCATCGGAGGCGGGGAGCCGTGAAGGGGAACCTGAGGCCGCCGGTGTCAGCGGTGAGCTGCAGGGAGGGGGGGGCAATGTCCAGGCCATGGAGGCCATGGCTGCGCGGAGGGCTGTGGGTAGGGTGGACGTGCTTGTGGGCGGGATCCGGCCGCCGTTGGAGACACCTATCGCCTGGCTACATGCCAAGATGCGTGCTCCAGACAGTTTCTTGTACATCGTCGTGAGGAGGGAGTAGATGACCGGGTTTTGCTGGCGAGCAGGTCTGAACAAAGGCACGTGCACATGTGCTACGCATGTGTTGGTGAAGTAATAGGGTGGTAGCCAATATCGCTGGATGGGCGCTGTCTGGCAGGGGCATGCTTTGTGGAGTGATGGCGGCCATTCTGGGGAGGTTCAGTTGAATCAGGGGGCTCCCCTGCCGTCCCCTGGGGTGACGGGCGAGCTGCTGTAAATTATTGCGTTGGTGATTCCGTTGATTGCATTGCCTGCGCAGGGCAAGACGGTGCCGATGCATCTCGCTGGCGATGGCGGGCCGGTTGTACTTCCAATACTCTTTGGCATTCCGCATTATTTCGTGCTCCCTCTGCCCATTCGCGCCACACACAGCTGACTCTGGTGTTGATTGTTGTTAGTGCATAGCTGCGCAATAGCATCGCATCATTGTCTGCTGATTAACGTAAACCCATGACTGTTGTCAACTCATCACTGGCGTAGGGTCGCAACATTCCATTTGGGTTTTCACCCATTCTGACGCATGTTCCGGCGACGTCGCAACACAGCAGCCAACACACACCTTGCCCCCCAGCGCAGCTGGCGTCCAAGAGCGCCCATCGTGACTTGATGCCCCATATGGATTTGATGCGCAACGTTGTGCCACAAAGTTCCATGTGTACGAGCTGCGTCAAAGCCCAATGGTGCGTATGGCATGGCATGGCCACCTTGACAATGTGCTCGCTCTTGTCTTACCTGTTTCTCCAGAAACCGCCAAGGCACTGACACGGTTGACAATCCCCATGCAGGGCGACGCCGCTCGAAGGGTCGTTAACAAGTAGTCAGATCGGCAGATTGACGCTCCATTTCGCTATTGCCCCGAAGAGCCCGAAGAGGGCGTTCGGTCCCATCAGCAGCTTTTTGGTGCTTAATATCACCGCCAAGAGGACCAAAAGGCTCCTAGCGCTGTGAAAACAGTTGCAGAAAGAGCCCATGGCGGATCCTGTAATCCCTTTTAAAACCCATTCAAGAACAGAAAAACGGTGTGTCAACATCACCCACCGAAACAGAGTCAAGTCCGGAATTCAAACATCCGCCAATCACAGAATTTCGTGTCGCTGCGCCGTACACCCTGTCGTAACCACGACAAAGACAAATGGCACCAGCCGTCTTCCGTTTTCCACACCCATCCCGAATGCATTCGCTGGGTGGCAGTGGTCCGGAATCTGCGCCCCCCACGGCATGGAGGATCATCCATCCCAGCTCTTTAAAGGTTACGTTCTTGCCGCTCCCCAATGCCCACATCAAGACAGCTATCCCTGCAGTGAACGACAAGCCACATCAGACATTTGCACAGCGTCCCAGCTTTTCCATCAGTCCCAGAGCGTCTTGAAGACCTCTGGGGATGCCGTTCACTGATGGTATGGCTGATCTTCCTGCACGACTGACAGGACAACCCACGGCCATGGAGGCCTTTCGAAAGGAGCGGTCAATGCACATTGCCACACGGGTCATGCATGGCCTTCTGACGTTCTCAGACGGCCTGTTCCAGCGCCTTGGTCACCGCAATTTCCATGTCCTGAGCGGTTAGCGCCCCATCTGGATGGGCCTCCATGCGACTGAACATCTCGGACATCATCATGAGCAGCTCGCGCGGGGTGGACAGCTTGGCGATGTAGCTGGAAAAGTCTTCCCCGCGCACCTGAGCCAAAAGATAGGGTTTGCTACGTGTGCAAGGCGAAAGAGAGCAAGGGGCATAATTCAAGACAGCTGAAGCAGTACAGCAGCTGGAAACTGCCAGACGAGGTGATCCTATGCAATCGCAGAGCAGTCCCGGCAGAGAGCATGAAACAAAACAGTTTGAAAGGCTTGTGCACATGCGGTGGACAGGTTGGCAATCCCCAACTAACAGTGGACGACTGGATGTTCTTACCACTAGTGTTCTGACAACATGATGCGTGGAGATATCGTCCCATGTCCCATTTTGGGATGTGCCCGCAGGGAAGGGAAGGCGGCCTATGCCACTCTATTGTTGTCCAGGTATCTCTACTGTTGATCCATCGGCACAACTATTTATGTCAATCTTCCAGCAATCGGTGGCAACCAAAATGCACTGACAGCAACAGCTGGACGGGTAAGCATGCACAGGTGAGGGGAATGCACGATGTCCACGTGACCAGCCAGCTGGGACTTGATGCCGTGTTTGCCAGCGGACAGTACAACAAACACATGCCAACAGCATGCTCCCTCAGGTTGGTGCGCAGTGGCCTTCTCAACAGTTGCTGCAACAATGGGTTACGACCGCATCTTGTGTACTTTCCTTTACATCCTTTGGGAGGCAAACGATTCACATGAAAACATGAACTATTATGTAGCGCAGCTGCGTGTGGCAACAGCACGACGGTAGTCAGCCTGTAACCTTGCAGACGGCCCTCCCCAGCACTCTCCCTACAGACCAATCACCTTTTTGAAGAGATCGGAAAACGTCGTCTCTGAGCCCATATCTGGATCTGATCCCTCCATGGCGATGGCCGATGCTCTGTTTGCGTCTTGGGAGGCCTGCCACCTGCGCTCAGCGAGCTCCTCCAGCTGGTGCCGAGACCATACCAGGTCGCGAACATAGTGGCGGTCAAATCTCGCCTGGAAGCACCACAAATCAGCCAGAAGCGTGCAACAGTTGATGCATGGCATTCCACACAGTATGACAAACCAAGGCTCGGTAACTGCAAGGTACTGCTGAATGTAGCCAGGCAAGACAACAATTGTACAACAGCAGGACAATTGTAGAATTGTAGAACAACCAGCAACAATACAATCATTTGCATGTGCATATCAATGCGTCCATACTTCCCATATCCCACGTGACCGCTGTCACAACAATTCATAGTATGACAATCAAATAGAATTATCCCCATCAACCAATCCCAGGCGTTGAAGGGATTTCAGAACGCTACAGAATGCAGCCAAAGTTTGAGATGAACACGATGCCAAAGCAGCACATCTTTGCCAAAACGCTATTGCTGCACACCTCTTTTAGAGTCTTGTCTGTGTTGAGGTCGAGGGCCAGCCTGGAATCGGGGAAGAAGAAGTGCAAGCGCCCAAAGTTGAGGAGGTCGTTTCGACACACATCCCGAGCAAACACCTTGATGGCCCCAGGGTACAGCACAGGGTCCAGCAGAGTGACTTCATCGAAGCAATCGCCGAAGACTGTGAGGGACTCAAAGCCCATGAGCATAACCAGGTCCTGCAGGAGGTCAAGCTTCTGGTGGGCACTGACGCCAATGTACATTTCCCTGCATCAAGAATGGATTAACCTGACATCTCATGGAGTAAACACTCAGGACCGCTCACAGACGCAGACTGCAGTTAGGTGCAGTGCCTGACAGACAATGATCGCACTGCAAGCACCAAAAATATACCTGTTTAATGAGGTAATCGACAGCCCCCCCCCTCTGCACTGGCAGCAAATTCTATCATCAATTGTATCCAAAGTCAGCATTCTTTTCCTTGCAATATGCTGCAATGCCAGCTTATTGCAATTAAGCGGAGCTCTGTCAATGGTCTTCCACCAAATAGATATCTGCCATCCTGACCAGTGCTGTTGCATATCTTTAGATATTGGCATGACTTCTTGCAGGTCGACAGCACATTTAATGGTGCCAAATCACCAGACTGTTGCACGTTATCGCCCTGAACATAGGAAGCCTTCTCGTAACATGGGTAGTATATGCACAGCAGCATTCGCTCGTCCACCTTCTGCAACAACCAAACACAGACACACTGCACGTACATGCTTCAGCCATTGGACCCACCTAACAGTGTCGACAGTGTCGCTTGGGGTGAACAACTGTCCCAATAGCAATCCAATGAGTTCGGGCCTCTGCTGCTTCACAACACGGATGCTCCGTTGCACACCCTCTGCCCTCCTCATTGACCTTCTGGATACTGCCTGCAAGTGCATAAACCCTTTCCATGTTTCATTTGCCTTCGTTGGACAGTAGGGAATAAATAAGGTATGCATTCGCAGCACGCTTCCCTCAATTTAGGTGTGTGGCTGCATGGACATTTAGTTCATATCCTATATGACATTCAACCTTCATCACCTTGTGGGCTTGTGAGCACGTCTCACCAATAGGCATACATGGAAAACTTCCGGCTTGAACTGGAGATTATGCAGCCCAATGAACAGAGAGCACTGTGCCACAAACTCCCTTTCCTATTAATTTTAATCCTTCTGTCTTGAGCTATATTGGTGACAGGGCAGTCAATGCCATGCTGTCACAGAAAGACACAACGACTCCTCAGTCAGCTTGTCACCAGGGAATGCTAAACTGGGGCCCTGTGCCGCATGTTGGTGCATGCGATCACTGAGGATACACGGACACTGATAAGGTGCCTATGCAAGAATAAGACTTGCCTGCAGGTAGCCCCAGGCACTTGCCGCCACTGCAAGGCCAGCCCCAGCAAGGTACAGCTTGGGATACTTGTCCAGGCCTGGCAGATGCTGGGTCAGTGTATCCCACATGCGGTCCAATGGCCCTGAAAGCGCGTCTTGGATGCCCGGGCTGTTGGCAACAATAGTAGTGCCTGCGGGCAATGGACAAGCACTGGGTCGTTCATCTATTGTCTGATGCCATTACTGCCACTATGGCAGGCAGCCTGGAGTGCTTGAGAGGGAGACAAACACCAGGCCATCGAGCCATCTGCCTTCTGTGGCTGCTGGCAATAGTGCAGGCAACACTTACAGTTTTGTCAGCATGGTAATTGTTTGCAGCGGACAAGCACCACGTCAGACAGCTGCATGCCACTAACAAGCTCTATTTTGAAGGCAACATGAACAGCTCCTTGTGTTGGGGGTGAAGCTACCATGTTTTTGGACATGCACTCTAATTCCAATCAGAAGAGCTGCAGGGACGTTGGAGGGTGATGGAGACACGTCCATTAGTGGTAATACTTGCTTCAAATTCTTATCAGTCGAATGGCTGTGCTTGTTGCCAGCTGAATACACCATGCTGCTCTGGTGTTTACATCGATAAGTCCATATCTTCCCTGCATAGACCGCACAATCCAGAGAGCAAATTGTGCGGGAAATGGACATTGCACACGTTAAATTTCTCACACAAGTCCATGTTGTTCAGCATTGCAGCCTTGTCGATTTCTTCACTCACCAGCTATCGCAGCCATTCCGATTCCCACCCCTCCAGCCATCTGACTGGTAGTGTAGGGGGGCGGGATCAAACTCTTCCGCAAGAATGCGAGTGCGGCAGAGTCTGTCCGAGCATAGAGGTGAGCAAGCAACAGGAACTGCTTTGCACGGCGGCCCTCATTCCTCAGTGCCTTGAGCATCTCCAGCCCCTTGCCGCCTGGCGACATCGACCGACTGAGCACACGTGACGAAGTGCTGTTGGGTGGGCAGAGTCATGGCAAGGGGCACTCAAAAGCACCAGGGCACAATGCTCCAGTTCCACAGCATCCAGAGAGGACAACATGCAGCAAATGATGGACAAATTGTTGGGGTGGACAATCTGAAAATGATGTAGATGCGCTGCCAGTACAGGCACACTACATTTGGCTTCTTAAACCTTTTCTTCAGTGCTGTTACAACTACACATCGTATGTTGCCAAACACCATTTTTGCATATGTGCAGTGATGATGGTGCTTCATTGTACTTGGGTGGGGAATGCAATACGTGAGCATTCTTTCAATTGATGTTGGCACAATGAAAGCAACCATCGCAGTTGGGTTTTGCTCCAAGTTGGATCAGCAGTCTGATTCCACAATGCAGTTGCTTAGGCTGCAGACATCTTTCGTGAACAGGTCGATAGTGCTTTCCACTATGCATAAGTTGATAGGAAGAAAATCAAAGCTCTGTATCTTAGATCACAGATAATAGCCTTCCCTCCCTTGGCGTTGAGCATCAGGGCTGACATCAGGAATGCAGGGGGCACTATCTTGCGCACCCCTGCGCTATCTTCCATGCCCCCCACATTCCGCATCAAGTCGCTGACTCAATAGCACCCCCCCACATTGTCGCATTGGTCAGTGTTTCAGCAGCAAAACGTACCAGCAGCCTGCCAATTCAGCACGTTACATAAGGCACCATTCATAGCAGGAACCAAAACTGGTGACAAAAAAAGTGCCGGGACATCACAGCTCGCTGCATTAAGCAGGCCCCCCCGTGCTATCAGACTGGCAAAGCAAACCGGCACCAGGCAATATAGCACATTACATAACATTACATAAGACGCAAATCCTAGCACCAACCTAAAGCAATGAATAACAGCTAATGGGACGCCGCAGTGTGCTGAGAATCTTGGGGGCGAAGAGAATCTTGGCACTGTCTAGTTGGAGTGGACTTGATGTTATTGGGGTGATAGCGCATGCAATGAGATGCCAGAATATGTGAGAACGCTTTTGCATTTGCAACTTTACGTGATGTTGAAGCGACTAATGTAGCCCCCCCCCCCCCCCCATTTGCACTATGCCTTGTGTAACCCCGGTGCTCCACAACACTGGCCATGTTTGATAATGCCAGGGGTGCTATCTAAAGGCCTCACACTATTCAACACCCCCACACACACTATCCTCCATGATCTACAGTACGTGAAAGGGCCACAACTGTCATGTTTTCGTTGTACAGAGCGATGACAATTTACATCATAAAGGCAGCACAAAGTGTCTGCAGCTACTCCCTGGGACAATGGGACCAGCAGGTTGGCGGTTCAACTCGCCATTTATCGCGCCGACCTGGCAAGCATGGTCAACATATCCTGTGTACATGTTGTTTCAACCAAGAGAAACTCCCTGAGGAACGCACCCGGCTTGACGATCCTGCTCACAAGCTCTGTTGCAGCAAATGACAGAATGCAGTCCACCATGTCGATCGTGGTCCAATTTTCCTGAAACTGGGCATCCCAGTTCTCCAGGTTTGCCCCAATTCGCTCCTGTTCAAAGCCATGCATGTTGGTCGTTGCAGCAGCCATGCTTGTGTCAAACATCCACATAAAAGGGCAGTGCCAACAAGACATTATCTGCTTCATAGCAATCCAAGCAGTGCTTGTGCAAGGCTGGCCAAACAGTTGATTAAGCATGGAGGGGCAGATGTTCCCTTTCCAAACCGATGCAGGGCTGCTTGAGAGGTCATGTTCCTGCAGGCCTTGCACATTGAGAACAAGGGGTTTTTTGAAACCTTGAAAAGTACCATTGTTTCTTATTCCAAACAAGATATTACAGTTTGGTGTCAAGGTCCCTGCAGCTTCTGGGGGCACTGCATTCTTACAATTAACAAGTATTACTGCATGATCTGGCAGCCAATGATGTCTGCCAGGGCATCGATACATATTCGGGGATGGTGTTGGCTGCATTGTGGAGTTAAGTTGCCGGGGCAAAAATGCTAATTTGGGGGTAGTGTTGTCTGCATTGTGGAGTTAAATTGCCAGGGGAAAAATGCCAAAGTAAGTGGCAACTGTCTTCTATCAACCATGCAGACTTCCTGCTACATCTTCCAAAATTGCATTGCATTGCAGGTTGGCAAGCTTGTGACAATGCCTGGAATAAGCCACACAGCTGACCTCTTCTGGCATGGCACCTACAACTCACACAAACATGGACATGAGCAGCACTACACATGTAAGGTGCTGCGATTGTTTGCATAAAGCAATCACAGGTGGAGAGGCAGGGTGGAGGGCCACAGTTAACAATGGTGGTTTCTTGTCTGTTTTGAAATCAGAAAGCTCAGTTTGCAGAAAGGGCCCAGTCGCTTCATCAGGTCGAATAGATCGGTATTCTGGTCTTGGATGGGCAGTGGGGGACTTGTTTTGGTGATTGGTCTTGTCTTCAGTTGGGGCTAGTTGGGAGTTCAATCTGGCATATGGTCCTGGTTGCTAATTGGCTACTGGTCAAAGGTTTCTAGACATAATGGCTGCTTCCATTTCCATTCTTATTTCCTGAATTTGGACATTGTTGCCCTGCTCACTGGTACCCGTATTCTTGGGTTGGTGGGGAGATTGGCTTTTAAGGTTGTGCACTATATGCTTGTCGTTGCATGCATTGAGGGCCTCTCTTTTGCCTGCTATCAGTTGGACACTGTTGGCATCATTTTTGGGATTACACTCCAGACTGTGGGCATGGCATAGGTTCTTTGCAAAAGGACAGAGTAGTTATGGCGCCATTTGTTGTTAAGCATGCATGAAATCTGTTCAACAACAAAAGGGAACAAACCACTCTTGTCAAGGGAGGGGGAAAAATTGAACGCCCTGTCAGACTTTGTGGGGCTTGCAGTTTGGCTCACAATAGGAACTTCTGTTTATCTCTTGCAGAAAGGACAAGAGCCTCAATTCACAATTCCTGCAGTGATGGGGTGCACATTGTGTATGTGACGGCACAAAACAAAGCAACTTACTTTCCTTGGAGAAACCGTGGGAGATCTACGCACTGGTGACCAGTTTAATTGCTGCAAATGGACACTGTGAACACGAGAACTGGGGGAGTCTTACTGCCGCCACAGTGCACTTCTTGTCTGGGATTCGTTTCACAGCAAAGCGCTGGCTGCCTGCGCCTGGGCAGCGTGTCGCGCTGACGGGACGGGATCACACAAGCGCACCGTCGCACTGTAACCATGTCTCCACAACAGACACCCTCCGACGGGCACTCGGCACGCCCTCCTTCCCGACATGCAATCAGCGCCACATTCCTTTTGCTGATACCGTCGACTCTTTGCCAGTCAGTGTGCCTCCTTGTGCCCAAGCAAACAAAACCAAAAAGCCAACGGCACTTCAGAAGGGACGACCGCGGCGCGAGTACATTTCGTCGTGCAGGCTGACCCCACCTGAAACTCCCTCAGGCACGCCGTGAGGTGCCCCGGGCGGCACAGGTCCACCACAAAGTGCCCCCTGGACTTCCCAGCCTCCTGCGCCGCCTCGTTGTGCGCCCTATACGCGGCCATCATCTGCAGCCGGATCGTCGTCTTGCCACTGCCGCGGCGCCCGAAGATCACGTACGTGCGGTCGCTGGGCCGGAAACCCTGCATGTCGGAGTGCTGGTACAGGGACGCATCATGAAGGCTGGTCTTCTCGGCAGTGCGGTCGGTGAAGGGGTTGCGATCCAGCCCGAACTTGTCGAGCAGGTTGGTGGGCATCTTTGCGCTGCGCCGCGGGCCACCCCGGGGGAGGATGCGATCGCGGGGGGATTGCCGGTGGCAGACCCCCGGGACCAGCCCGGAATTAGCTCCCGAGAGTCCCGAGGGTGGCAGCGGCCGGAGGTCCCAAGGGGGGGGCCCGTCGCCTGGGGCGCGCCTCTTGGGGTGCGGGTGATGGCGGGGCCGTCTGAGGGGCTGTACTTAAAGACGTCGCAGGTGGGATTGCCTTTTTGCTGCGTTCCGTTCATCAACAACACGTGTCCCTAATGCAGGTTGCATTCCGTCGCACGATGGGCCCCAGTGCACTGTCGAGGTCACCAGCGGCTGGGCGGTGTGGGGATGAGGCACCGGGATGGTACTATGGGACGATCGGGGGACGGTCGTGAACGAATGAGAGTGGGGCGCATAGTTAGTGGGGCAGTTGGAGGGAGCTGCGGTAGGGACGGTAGAGGAAGGAGTGAGGGAGATGGGTAGTGGATAGGAACGTCGGCAGGCGGACGGGTCCAGGGCGCTGGCCTACAGGTCTTTTTATGGGGGAGCTGAAGTGAAGCGGTGTCGGTTGTGGGATCAGAATAGCAATGGGAAGGTCGTGGGATTTCATTCGGGGAGGGGCCAAGCCAGAATAGCTGGGGCGGCTGGTGGAATGTTGCGTTGAGTTGGCGGCGTTCGAACAGATCGGCCGCCAGCTTTCATGAAAAAAGCATGAGCCGAGCTTCATGTAGAAGTAACGGTTCCTGTAAGTACCGATCGGGGTTCATGCCGGAGCCATCGGCAGCGAAGGCTAGGGTTTACAAACCGTGTGACTGCGCCACGGGGCACCCTCCGAGGGTCCATCTTGCCGTGCTGCGATCTGTTCGCACTAGTGTTACAGCGGCATTGAGAGGTGGCCTCTCATTGTGGAGGCCAACTGGTTCGAGTGCATCCAGGTGGGCTGTTTCTTGCCAGCGGATTGGCGTTAGCTCTTGTGCCTGAAACGATTGTGTGAGGGTTGGTTTGAGGTCACACTGTTAGTCTTCAAGAGTGGTCTGGCCATGGAAACACCCGATTGGCATTGGCCACAATGCCTGTACGCCCCCACCCACCCACCAACCCTTGTTGGTCATGAACATGCCCCAGAGACGTCGCACCGGGCCCATTGCCCAACATCTCTTGTTTGATGAATGGGCTTCCCCTTCATTTTGTGGCAAGTATGCAATAAATGGAATTGGATCACACCAACAAGAGCCACGCTTTGCGCCGATGCCGCATTGCAAGCCATGGTTCGCAGCCCTGACCATTCGCCCCGCTGCTAACGGGCCTCGCAGGTAACCAGGAAATGCAAAACTGTGAAGCCAGACGACACTAGATGGCAACTTGGCACAAGAGTCATGCAGCCTCTATGTTGCCCCTGAAGGTGCTAGAATGCGAGTTTGTTCCTTTTATCTGCGGACGCCCGTTGAAAATTGAGCATGGGGCGAATTTTATCTGGTGAACCACTGCCATTTTTTCGCCTTTGCCCTCTTTCTTTGTGATGCGTTAACATCGGAGCATTAACCTACATGTGAATGACATGAAATTTGTTAATTTTACAAGGCCACAGGACTACGGACCGTCAAAGCACAATACGGCATTATTTGTAATAAAACGACTTCAATGTCAGTTTTTGTAGATCGATTCGCAAAATGCAGGTGGTGGGGGCACCGAAATTCACGTTTGTTTGCAAGGATCCATGGCCACCGCTCTTCTGGGTGCGTTTTTTTAGGTAATACACGGGGGCACATTGGAGCTCTGGCCGTGCGTTTCATTTCCGATGTGTGCCCCAGGCATCGCGCCTTGTTTCCGATCGGTGGCGGCGACTCGGGACAAGGGACGGCACAGTGGGAAATTTGACACGACAGCATATTTCGGCCAATTGGGTTGGTCTATGACGACGGCAGAAATACGCAGTTTTTCTTTCTCGAAGGTGATGCGTTCCAGAGAGCTTGGCAGTCTGTGCCACTTACTGAATTGAATCCATTTGGGGCCAACTGCCCAACTTCCGAAGCTTAGAATGTCAACGCCAAGGGCCGGCAACTTCCCTGCATGCCAGTATGGCGCCAAGCGAGCCAAAATCAGCGCGGGGTCGCCCCCCTACCTTTTTCTCAATTTCCCCCAACTTCGACACAATAAGCAAGGGAGTCTTGGCGTGGCTCCAAACTTCAGCCGTTGTGTGTTCCCACTCACCTGCCCTAGTCAACGATGTCCTACTCCTACAAGTGCACGCGATCGTGCCGTTATACTATTAGTTTCGTTGTACTGTGCAGCTGGTACGTCTTGCCGCCGATGACTTACACGGTCAGCTTGCCACCAACTGCACCGGGACCTCGAGGCAACGCCGAAACGCTGCCGTTTTGACCACAAGTTCTCTTCCAAAGAGGAGAGCTTCAGGATTCTCTCTTCTGCCAGCAGGGCTACACACCTGCT